AGCTATTCATAGTTGCCTTAGCTTCGACTTTTCTGGCTAAGACCAACTTAAAATTTAGTTTCGGCTGAAGCTGCAACTAAGTCCTAACTAGGAAGAAGTATTTTATCAAATTAAGGGAAAACAGACGAAATATGTAAAAATTGAGTTGGTAGAGGGTGATTTTGATATTGAATAATCTCATGAACGAAAGACACAAGATCACGTAAGAACAAGAGAGTGAAGGAAGTCGATTTTTTTAGCGGGTTCTACGCCATCTTGTTTCACTGGAAAACGAGCGAAAAGTAAACAAAGCAAAGAAAACAACGAAAACCAAAATTAGCCAAAATTATTGTCAGCCACTTTAAACGCACAATTTAGGTAAAATGATGCAACAAAATGCTTTAAAATTTGTTGTCATGTTGAATTAACTCTTCTTTACTTGAATAAATGTGTAAAATAGTGGTGCTTGAGATGTAAACAAACGCTCAGCTGACGAACCCGCTTTCGCAAACTTTTTTCTTAAAACCACTTACAAATACAGAGTCGCGTTGTTACGTGATCTTGTATTTTTGGTTCATAGAATAATCTCCAATTAAAATTTACAAAGATCGATCCGTTTTAATCGGAAGATGAAATTAAATGCGCATTACAATTCGAATAAAGCTACATCATAATTCTATAATTGGAATAATTTAGATAAATTCTCAAATAATAAGTCAGTTTCACGCTAGTTCTTTTAAAGTAAATTTATGCACAACATTTTAGCTGAAATTAGTCAAGAACGTAAACCTACTGGTACCTAAACCCGAGTCAGCTGACACGATCTGTCAGAGCGTCATGTAAATGTAAAGTCAACACCGCAGAATTTTTTTGTAGTTGTAGCCCGTAGCGCAGAAATCTGCGGAATTTAGATTTTTCCGTGTCAGCTGATTTCTTCCCTCTATAGATGGTTGCCACTTCGTCAGTTTTGCAGATGGTAAAAAAATTATAAGTTCCTATTAAAAATACGTTTAAAATATTTGAAATTTACTATTGAATAAAGTTTTATGTTGAAAACTAAGTAGTTTATATTTAGCTACAATCTATTATAGCACGAAAAATTGCAGTTGAAAAGTTAAGTTTATGAAAAGGCATTGATGAATGGCAACACTGTAGTAAGCAACACTGAGGGCTCCAGTAATCGACAAAATTCTGCGTATACAGACTGCGCTTAAGTATACGTTCTGCGTTCTTGACTAATTGCAGCTTTAGATATCTACTATTTGTATGTTTCACAGCATGCTTTCGATAAACATCGACTTCAAATCACTGCGGTTGTTCTGGCTATTTCACACAATTAACAAGAAAATGATACCTTATTCTTTTGCATAATCATGCAATGAAAATAAAAACTACATAAACGGATGATCAAACTTGACATTATTTAATAAAAATGTAATTTTTCCAAAATATCGTAAAGAAAAATCGATACATTTTCACACTCGTTTTGCTATATCGTAAACTAAGTCGAAACTACTTAGTAGAAGTCTGAAATGCGACTATGAATGGAGGTAAATTTTAAGTTGGTACTTAAATTTAAGTTGCAGCTTTGTTAGTTTCGACTTAGTTGCTGGACTATGAATACGCGCCGATGTTTTTTTACCCAAAATCGATGTTTTTGTCAAATTTAAACTCCCTGCAAAAAACGGCTGACCATATCGGAAACAACCTATCGATTGTAGGCTCGCATACATATGTACATAAATACATACATCAAAGAAAATTTTACTTCACTTGTTAGCTGTGGTGCCAAATAAAGAAGAGATCGGTGAATTTAAAGAAAGAATTAATCAAAATCCGTATATTCTATTTGTATATAAAAAAAGAGCAAACAAAAATATTTTTTAGCGATATGTGGATAGAGAAGAAAACATTTTAGGCCAGTGCGCTTATGCTGACTGTGGAGTCAGTGACTATAGTGCTGAAATACAGTGCAACGCCAACGTGGGACTCCAGTAGAACCTAGGAATGGAGGTAGAAAGACCAAACGGCGCTGAGGCATATGTTTTAGCGACGAAAATTCAGACCCCGATGAAAAATAAGAAGAATTGTCTGAGCTCAGTGGCTCTGAAAGAGCTTGCGAAATTAAGTTAATATTCGACAATATATTTTTACAAATAAAACAAACACATAACCTAAATTGAATTGTATTTTTTAATTTGGTTTCATGTATTTTTGGATATTTCGCTGCCAACTATTCACTAATTTATCAATTATTTAGAGGTTAGAATAGTCGTCAGAAAAATCACTAATTATGCGATATTTTCCCAATAGTTTCATCGCTAACCCACTGGTACATCACCAGCTAGATGACATGTGTGAGCGAGTGAACATACTGTAAGGCAAATGCGCCCGTGTGTGTGCAGGAAAGGGATGCACTATCACACGCCCGGAGAAGTGGTCACTTTTTTCCCCAAGCACATACAAAACTAACCGCTAAACTGACGAAAAGTTTTAGGCAGTTTTCCCAATAATTTAACCAATAATCATAGGTCAGGCTTCTTGCAGGGCTAGAGCTGCAAAAGTATCGATATTCGTCGTACTCGATATTTTCGATATTTAAGAGACGAAAACTCGATATATATCGAATATATCGTTAATTTTTAATTCTACAATGAAACACTGAAAAATCGTTTAGGGCCGTTTGCACCATGTCTAGTTAACGCTAACTGGAGGTACATCCTTCAGTTAAGCACGTTAACTGCTTTATCGATCACATGTTATATGATGGGTGTCTATAACGTCGATAAAGGTGTTTAACTGGGAGTTAGAATTAACTAGACATGGTGCAAACGGCCCTTAGTCATCCAAAAAATGCATAGAACCATTTACCAACAGAAAATTTTATTATACTTATATATGAGGTACATCTGTATCAAGAATGATAGAACACAAGATTGCGCCGTCCTGGGCGTTGACATTTGTGTACCACAAGTAAACAAAGAATAGAGCGAAAAGAAGAACGAGTTGAAACTGCCAAAGCAGTTCACTTTACAGCGAAAAACGTGTTTTAATTTTGTTAAATGCGAAAATATTGCATTTTTCACCTAATATATTAAAGCACAGTGAACATTTTAGTGCACTCCATTGCTTTGCAATTGAGGCTGCTTCAGCAAACGTTTTAGTGTACTCCATTGCTTTGCAATTAAGGCTGCTGCAGAAAACTACTGCAGCATCTCTGCGGGAGTGATTAGTTAACTTGCTAATGGAGGCTGCGTGGAGCAGAAACACAGTTATTGTGAGGAAATGCTGCTATGTAATATAATAATAGAGAAACATTTCGGGAACGGCTTTGCCGTGCCCTATGTACACAAAATGCAGCGATTCGTCCCAGCGCTACGCTTGCATCTACGCTTCTTGCATCTTGACGGCTGTCGCAACTTAACACACAGCACTTCATTTTATTAGTTTTTACGCAGTCTTCAACTCAAAAATCAGTCACAAATTGCAAGTTAACACAATTCAAACTGATTTTTCATTTATAATTCAAATTTCTCTTTCGCTGATTTGTAAACAAAGGTTTATTTACAAGTTAACACAACTGTCAAAATCGGCAAAACCAAAGTTGCGGTACCACTGACGGCGCCACCTTTGTTCGCTGCACCGTGCATCTGTATGTATGAACAATGACCCACACTCAAAACCACACAGTGATACGACTACACTTTCGCACACTAGGTCGTTATATTACAATTCATTTGGCGTCTAAAAGTTCACTTGGAGCAGGTATTTTCTGTTTTTCTGGTTGATATTTTCGGAAATATTTACAAAAACCTGCAATTTTTAAATATAGACTGTACTGCAACAATTCTATACATAATTTTTCAGTAATATCTCTTCTTTTCTTTTCCTGAAATGTGTGTTGTGCATGCAGACAGAGACTTTTTACAATTTCGTCATATTTTATAGTTAAAACGCTCACATTTATTGAATTTTATTGCAATTATCCACTTTTTAATAATTTCCACAGATTTATGCAAAAAAATACTAATTTGTATACAATTTTAATGCAAATATTAACTTTTTCACTATTTTTTCTCCATAAAATGTAAACAAACAATGCGTGCACACCGATTAGCAAACGACAGTGCCGTACTTATCCGTTTCTGCATCTTCTACGATATGCCGATAACTACCCGATAACGACAAGTGTGCAGACTCCTTTGAAATGCATGTAGTCTGCTCAAAATTTCAGGGCGAAACAATAACGCAACTATGATTGGACGACAAGTGTGTAGATAGCCTAACTCACTGTTTATTCGATGGTGAAAAATTCTTTTTTAATATTGCCTGATTATAAAAAGGCAATAATATGACCTTAGAAAAGGAAAATAAAGTTGAAAAAGGCAACGTCTTGATTATAAGAAGGCAATAAAATGACCATCGAAAAAGAAAATTAACCTAATAATGGCAGCGTCTTGCGCTTATTTGCAAATGGTACCACTAATCAATATTCATTTGCGTGACTTAGTTATTTGCAAATAAAAAATTAACTCAGCGCTTATACGGCAAAGTTTACCATTTTGCAAATTGTTATTTGCAAATAATGCGTGCGTATAAACATAGTAACTGATA